TAGCACCCCCTCCACCACACAGTTTAGCACCACCCCCCTCCACCACACAGTTTAGCATCACCCCCCTCCACCACACAGTAGTCCTTCATACAACCACTCACCTGGGTCTGCCAACAATGGCGTAGTACTCATTCATCCAACCACTCACCTGGGTCTGCCGACAATGACGTAGTACTCATTCATCCAACCACTCACCTGCGTCTGCTGACATTGGCGTAGTACTCATTCATCCAACCACTCACCTGCGTCTGCTGACATTGGCGTAGTACTCATTCATCCAGCCACTCACCTGGGTCTGCCCACAATGACGTAGTACTCATTCATCCAACCACTCACCTGGGTCTGCCCACTATGACATAGTACTCATTCATTCATCCAGCCCACTCACCTGGGTCTGCCGACAATGGCGTAGTACTCATTCAAAGCCTTGAGGTACTTCCTCAGTTCGTTGGGGTTCTTGAACTCCTCCGGCCTCTCTGGTGGGGTCAGCATGGCCTCCGTGCAGAGGACCTCCATGACGGCGAGGGAGAGGACGAGCAGTGATACCAAGAGTAGCTTGTGCATGGTTGCGGCTAGAACTGTGGGGAGAGCGTGGTTGGTTGGGGGGGGGGGGAGAATTTGAAACAAGATATTAGTTGGAATTAAAATATTTGTGATGAAATTATGTGTGTGCGTGTGTGCGTGTGTGTGTGTGTGCAGTTGTTCGACTCTGGCGTTCGTTCCGGTTGAGTAATCACTTTACGTTCAAGTTGGAGAATTATTATTATTTGGTTGTTGTTGTCGTTGTAGTTGTTGTTGTTGTTGTTGTTGTTGTCGTTGTTGTTGTTGTTGTTGTTGATGTTTTTGTTGTTGTTGTTGCTGTTGTTGTTGTTGTCGTTGTTGTTGTTGTTGTCGTTGTTGTTGTTGTTGTCGTTGTTGTTGTTGTTGTTGTTTTTGTTGTTTTTGTTGTTGCAGTTGTTGTTGTTGTTGTCGTTGTTGTTGTTGTTGTTGTTGCTGTTGTAATAGCGCGTCTTGGGCAACCAGAAAAGCAGAACATTTGTTTAAGCTTAAAAGTAAACCACCCTTAAAAACAAAGGTTTTCTTGGAATTCCTTTGTATAAATTTGTTTTTTGCATTTATGTAATGGTACGTGATTGATTATTTATGTAATGGTAGGTTATTGATTATTTATGTAATGGTAGGTTATTGATTATTTATGTAATGGTAGGTTATTGATCATTGATGTAATGGTAGGTTATTGATTATTGATGTAATGGTAGGTTATTGATTATTTATGTAATGGTAGGTTATTGATTATT